CATTCTTCGCGGCAATATAAATGATAAAATAATATAAACAAGAAATAAATTATATTGAAAATTATATAAATATTAAAAGCTAATTAAAAAGCGTTAGTAATCTATACTTTTTAATAAATACCACAAAAGTATTACGTATAGTACAGAAAAAGTCTTATCATGTTTCATAAATAAAGAATATTGTTTTTAATAGTTCTTGGGTTATACTTTGTAGTGCATTACGTGAGAACACTAAGACAACCCGTATCACATTATGCCCGTATTATATTTATTATGCGATAAGAAAAGTAATCGAACCGAATATTTTATTAAGTTGGTCAACATGAACTTAGTGTATAAAAGTGACATAGTGTCACACAAACGTATCGACCGTTTCATGTGTGTCGTGCAACGTGTCAGTTGCGATGAATTAAATTAGGTTATCAATTATTCACCGTGGTTAATTGTCATCGACAATTAACAAAATTCGTGGATGAATTTCATTCTTGTTTATGTCAGTGTTTTGCATACGTGGCAACATTTACCACCAATCAGAAAACACAAGTTTTGATAGGCGTGGCTTCGAACACGTATACTTGTCTGTACGTCCGGCCGCCATAATTCTTGAGAAGAAATCGTTGTGCGTGAATTCTCATCGCGATTCTCTGTAGACAAACACAGCACGTTGTTCATTTTACATTCCTTGGCAGAAACAACTTACTGGAAATATTCTTACTGGGCTACGTAAGTTTAAAGAACCAGCGAATTCCATTGATTTAATAGAATGTTAATTCAATACAAATCATTTCGCCGGCTCTACCTATATGCGATTTAACGTGGAGGAATTCGGTTCATCTCCGGTGATTGTGTCGATGATCCGATTGTCATCCATATGTCATTTTCACAATGATATTTCCCGAAACTTCCACCTCTTAAATTATTTTATTGTAGTTCGTTTTATGCTACAATAGTATATTCAAGTTTCTGGAATGCGTAAAATCGTTCTCAAAAATAACGTCTTTCAATACTGCGAACTTAATTAATAATATCTATTTTGGTGAATTAAAGCGCATAAAGAAATATTATGAAATAATATTGTATTTGGTAATAGTGTCGTATGCAAAAAAAAGTTCATTAGAAAAATTGGAATTACTCCAAATCTATTCAGACTAAGTTGTGATAAGAACTGCATAACATATTTAAAAGGTATAAAGTTTTATGTAACCGAATGTTCATTTTTATAGTGGTAAAGTAATATGATTTTAAAGTATTGAGTACACTTTCAAAGTTCTAGAAAATTATCTGTAATTTACTTGTTCATTTATATTTCTTTGAGATTAATACTATATATTTCAATGCAATTTTCTTTAAAAGTTTTCTCAATTGTTTTCATTTCGATCATAGCTTTAAAATGCTGTGTAGTAGCTTTTTTTATGTCTCTTTTTATTGTTTAATAATTTTCACAACTTTGTACAAGTATATCTAATAAATAATTGCTACAAACTAAATGATTATAATACTTAATCATTACGTGATTAACTTGTTTGCACATGCATATGCTCTATTTGTAAATGTAGCTTAAATAAAAAAATAAAATTCTTAGAACTTTGAAAGTACACTTTATATGTATACCTTATTGAATTATAATAAATGCTAACAAGAATATCTTGATGCTCTACTTTAATAGGTAGACATTGTCAAAATGGATGTCCAGACAGGATTGGTATATGTAGCAGTTGTAGTCATTTCGGCAGCAGTTATCGTTTTAGTATCAATGTTTGGCATAAAAGAAAAGTCCTATGAAGAAGCTATAGCTGAACAAAGAAAACTACCTGATGATCTTTTATTGGGTACAGGAAACTATCATTTAACAGTACCATTAAGAGATAACTCTTATTTATGTCTTCATGAAAAACTTACCTATCACATTTATATAACTACTATTTCTTTTAGGTAAGAAAGATAAAGGTAAAGAAAAGAAACATAAGAATAAGGCAGGAAAAAAAGTGAAAGAGAAGAAAGAAGAGAAAGAGGAGAAAGATGATAAGGAAGAGAAACCAGAACATGTACAATTTGAGGAAAATCCTCAAATATTGCCCCTAGAGCCACTACTGCGGGTAAGAGCTTATTTTCTTAATTTTTTTTTGCATAGTATGCCCATCCTAAGTGTATTTGAATTGATTATCATTGGAAGCTATTAAAAATCAATGTTTACATAGGAAACAAACTTAAAAAGATGTATAAAATTCTTCAAAACAAAATTTAATTCTTATACCTCTTAAATTAATAACATAGGAAACTTAACTCTGAACAGTTTATTCTTTTATCATTTAAATTAATTAAAAAATACTTCCACGATAATCGG